CGTACCTTGTTCTGGACAACAGCTTCCTTCAGCAGTATCTTAAGGTACATTCGTAAATTGTTCTTCAGTCCTTCTTGATACTCAAGGTGTTGGACCATTGCTAATTTTAAATTGGTGGGATATACATTCAACTGTATAAGCTTGAATGTCTTCTGTGGGTTCTTTTCCTTGAAATCCCCGTAGCCAACACTTTCGAGTCTCTCGAAGAAGTCATTTACGAACTCCATCATACGTGCTTGGGGGTCTGAAATCGACATTGGCACCTTTATTCCTTTCAGGGCCTCCTCAATTACAGTCGGATCTACCGGTATATCATTTCATGACTCACGATACTTCTGATAAACTTCTCAATATGATCTGAAGTAAGATTGTTTACAGTTGTTTCCGGTGCGATATCTTCAAATTTGTCAAGAAAGTGCACGTTCTCCAACCTGGAACGTTCGATACATACCTTGAAAGATGCAACAGTCATAGACGGCACCTCTTTGCATTTTTCTTCAACCTCATTTTTGTAGCGCGCGTACTCTCGCAAAAAAGCAGAGACCTTCTTCAGGTCAAAACTACGCAATACCGAATGGGAGATCGGTTCGAACACGGCAGATCTGCTCTAAACATTACTTTCACCATTGCTTGGTGTGTGGTGTGCTTTTGACATGTCAGCTTGATCGTAGCCCCGGGCTCGCGTCCTGGTGACCATACACACAGCGAAACAAACGGTTCCCCAGAGCTTGCCTGCAGGACAAACAGAAATTTCTGTAAACCTGGGGCGCGTTGATGTTTCAATGGGAATGATGCCCCCTTTACTCCGAGTCGTCTTTGTCAGCTTAAGTAACGGTTCTATGTAGCTTTCTATCCAAATGCACTCTCCTGTATTGGAGAGTGTATCTATAAAATGCAAAGCGCAAATATCTTCGTCAGGGGGTTGACAGCTTTCATGTGTATTCGATCCCGAATCTGACCTCTGCACTAGCCATAGAGCCTTATATGGGTTATAGGCGTCTACAGCTGCCAGCTGCCCAGAGATCGTACGCTCTTCAGCACACGTTGCGGTCGCACACCCGATCACGTTTGAGGCGAGGAGGCGGCGTGGGCGCCCGCTCCACGCACTCTGCTCCCGTGCTCACGCACACACGCCATTCCGTCTATTTAGAAACCGGACAACGTTCCATCTATTCAGAAACTGAGCAAGAAGAACCGTAAAACATCATCCTCTACCTTTGCACCATATCCCGTCATTTTCTGTCCCGCTTCTGTACAAAATTGTACAGATCTGATTCATCCATCTGGCCCTTACAAAACCCTAATCCAGCCCACCTGCCGTCCACATTGGCATTTCTCCCTACCTTCACTCGCACCCCTTCATCCCCCCGAACCATCGTTATGCTCTCCTTCCTGACGTCGTCCCCTCTGCATCGCCTGCGCCCGTCCTCACGCACTCGCCTCACGACAGTGGCGCATCTCGAGCCCATGAGCGACGAGCTCGCGGAAGCTTTCCGCGCTTATAGTCCGGGCGAAGTCCCGGTCGGCGCCGTCCTGGTGTGCAGTTTTGGGGCCGTCCTTTCCGCGGCACACAACCTCATCGAGTCGCTGCACGAACCTACTGCGCATGCCGAGATCCTCTGCGTGCGCCGCGCTGCCGCCGCCGCTAGCAACTGGCGGCTGCACGACACTACTCTGTACTCGGCTCTGGAGCCGTGTCCCATGTGTCTCAGCGCACTCGCTCTCGCCAAAGTCGACGCCGTCGTTTACACCGCCAAAGACTTGAGGCTTGGAGCGTGCGGCACGCGGCTACCCTTGCATGAGAAGAAACATCCGTTTCACACGTGTCGAGACGTACGCGGCGGCGTGTTGGAGGACGAGGCCACAGAGCGCATGAGACACTTCCTTCGGGAGCTCAGAGCAGAGGGGAAAGCCGCGAGGGGCGACTCGTGCGGGTCAGCGCACCTCGGCTGTACCGGTACGTGAGCGAAGTGAACAAGGTGTTCATGTGCAGTCGCGAAATGACATAATTCACAAGTGGGTGACCACAATTTCTCTTCTACAAACGCCTCCAGTCACGTGCCTCTTCTCAAGTGTGGATACAAAAACATGCCTATACGCGGGTCTCAATCTGCGTTTAGAATCAGCATCGTGCTTCTGCTATGCCCCATCACCCCCAGCCTTGTGTCCCAGTTTCCGCCCGACAGCTCTCTGCCCGGCAATTTTCAGCACCCTCTTCCGGTCTGCTCAAAAGGTCAATGCATCCGATCTTTGCCGTCGTAAAATCATCCACGCTCCTGAGTTTGTCCCTACCGCTGAATCTACGCGCAATCCTTGCGCCGCCGGCCACACGCAGCGCGATTGTCAACGCCTCCGCCAAGTCTTCCGGACTCTCATCGGGCAGTCGTGCCACCGCTACCAGCTGCTGCGTCTCCTCTGCAGCGCGCTTGGCAGCCGCGAGCTGATCCTCAAAGTTGCGTTTCCGATCTCGGGTCATCATCCCGGATGACAAACTTGCGCACGATGCCCTTGGATGCGCTTGGAAAAATGCACGCCGGCACGCTGAGTTGCACTACGTGGCCCTGAGGATCACCAGGGCGCGAAGCGCGCTTTCCTGCCTCGAAGCTGGCGTCGGGTCTCCGGCACGGGCGGGGAGGCGTCGCCGGGGGGAGCGCGCGGGGTAGCACAGAAGAGAGCGGTCGGGGACGGCGGGGACCAGCTCCTGCGCGGCGGGGGGAGGGAAGCGGTGCACGCGGACAAGTAGAGGTCCCTTCTACTCTTCACGTCGCCGGTGGAGAAGAGCCCACCCTTCTTGCCGAGGCGGGGCCTCCTGCACGTGGGGTCACGTAGTAGTACCAGTTCATCTGCGACATCTCCGTGGTACCCGATCCCATGAGCAGCCCCAACAGCATCGTCGCGTAAGTCAACGGCATTGAAGTCCATAGCGTTGTCAACACTCCCATCACGACCCTCGACCGCCACGGGATCCGCTTGCTACTCACCACGCACAGTCCGCCCACGAGCCACCGCACCCGCTGCTTGATAGATTCCTTCAGCGGGACCCGTCTCTGCTCGAACAATAACGCGTCGATCCATGGCGACCGCACCCTGCTCGACTGCGCTGTCATCCCGAATAACGCGTCCTCTGCGATGCTCCCTTCAACCCCATGGTCAAACGTCGCATTTTTCTCCACGAAATTGATGCGACAACAAACGAACCATGCCTGCCTACCCACACTTCCCCACACCTCTCCACATTTCCCTACACTCGTACTGAATCCGATACCGCCCACAGCCGTCCGATACCCGTCCCGAGTCGGCAAGCGTTGTTACCCAGTTTGCATTATGTACGTATCAGCCGCCTGCCACTGTCGAGTTTGCCATCCCTCCTCCATACAGAATAGGACCTTGCCCAATTGGCGGCCACCAAATGTGTCTGAGCCACACAGGTAAGGTAAAGTTCCCGCACGCAATGCTTCATAATTGCACGAACCATGTCCTTATTGAATCGCATTTCCTCGTCAACATGAAAAATCCAGTCCATTGCATCTGCTGGTGACGCCTTGATCGCATAATTCGACGCACGAGCCTTGTACAGCGCCCCTCCGTCTGGATCGTACAACCCATCGCAGAATATCAACAACATAAGTTACAAAGTTCGACCCAATACCAAACGTTCCGAGCAACTCTGCTGGTCCATCTTTGGTAAGGTTCTCATTGCAGCTATACATCGAATTCGGAAACCAGCAAAACAACGATCCAATCGACGCTTTTTCAACATGGGCCCGAGTAGTAGGCTAAAATGAAACACAAAGCATAAAAACAAAACCATCTTCGCATAACAAAACAACACCCCTGGAGCTCTCTCCAAGACCGGGACAACAGAGGCCGAAGTGCGATCAAAAGTTGGGTGACGGTTAGCGTTAGATCTGCAAATTTTAGCACATTTGCAGAGGCAGGTTGCAATGCCCAGAACAAATGCAAGATTTGGGCGAGGAAAGGGAGAGAGACGATTATGTCGACATACATGATGGAACGTGTGGACTGGTCTATGTTTGGGAGATGAGACAGCCAGAATGCCGGTAAGGAGGCAAGTCATGTCATGACCGGGATGGTGGGCTGCACGTGAGGGACATTAGCAGTTTCATATCTTAGAAAGAGATCGAGAAGGATGGGATAGACGAGAAAAGTCAGTGCGAGAAATGTGAGCAAAGTGTAGGCTATGATGGAAGAGGCATCATTGGGCGGAAAGGAAAGAGATGAGGAAACCCACAGAGTGAGGCCAGCGGCCGAGGAGGAAAAGTGGAGCAGAGGCTTGGTGGATGAGGAGAAGGCGAAAGTGTGGGCAAAAAGTGCGAGAAGGTAGAGAAGATAGAAGTGAGCCGAGTGGGAAGCATAGAATGTTCAGGCGAAAACTCGGTGCAACCTGTGCGAGAAGGCGTGGGAATAGGAATTAGAATGGACACATTGCAAAACAAGGAAGACCTGGATGGGGGGGCAAAGCGGGTCAGAAAGTGAAAAGTGGCAGCGGGGAGGACTGCCAAGATGAAGAGATTGACAGCGGAGAACATACAAAAAATCGAGTAGGACTGCCAGACGAGGGAGGGGAGCTATGGCGGCGCTTCTTGGATCATCGACACGTCGTTTCCACCATCTCCAATAGCCAAAGTCATCGCTTTTCTCTTTTCCGGCACTAATCGTACCACTAGTGCCTTCTGTAGCGGCGTCACACGACAGCAGATCACAACCTTCGTATGATCGGACAACGCCATGAATACATCTGAATGATCCTCAATCGCGTAGTGCAGAGAAGCCCCGTCAATGATCACACCAACCTCTTTTTCTTCCACTTTTTCTTCTGACGCATGGACAGCCGACGAGGCAACTCAGCTATTGCGCTGAAGCTCGTCCGTCGCTGTGGAGTTTGTGCATCCAACACATGACGGTCGAGAGTGTCATTAAGTTGTCTTTGCACCTCCGCGGATGAGCTTCCTGCAATATGCACCACTTCCATGTTCCTCTCAAGCAATCGCTGAATATCCAATGTTTTGAGCCGTTTCTCTCTTGTCACCAGTCCACACCCACAGTTTAATCCCTGCTTCGCGCAGAAACTTGATCGTCTCGGGCACTTTGTCTTGCAATTTATCCTCTACAGCAGTCGTGGCGACATACATCAAATCCTCCTCGAGTTCAGCGCTATTCTTTGAATTCTTCCCTTCCCTGTCCTCTAAAGAATTTTGCGCCTCTTGGAACCGTTCAAACCAAGTTTGGAAGTCCTTCTCCTCCAACTCTTTCATTGCAAACACAAGTGTTCGTAGACCTTCCTTCGCAAACTCGTCAATATGGTTCTGAATCAATTCTATGTTCGCGTCTTTGTTTAGCAACTTCAGCATGATCGTATCAGCACCTTTGGTGAACATTTTAATTTTCCCGTCAGGACACCTGAAAATCATGCTCATTCTCTTGCGGTCTGAATTGAACTCCAGTTCCGCCAAAGTCGTGTAAGTTTCTTTCGTTCCAAAGCGATCAATAACGAGTGTGTCAAGGGTTCGCGCCATAAAAGTGATCCCGTATTCTCTCGCCGATGTAACTAATGCAACCTCATCCGGACTCTGACCTTGATATTCTGGAAGTGCCTCTTCTGAGCTGTTTCCATCTAGCACAGCCGTCTTGTCCCCCAGATCCGGATTAGTGCGTTTTTTACTCTTCTTTCTGCCCGAGTCTCCAGAGGAGTTGTCAGACTGCGTCTCATCCTTGGGTTCTGGCACGACGCTGTGACAGAGAGCCATTACTAGCAAAAGTTGCTTCACAGGCTCGACACCATCTTTGACAGCGCGATGCATGGCTCTTTTCTTCTTGAGAATATTGTACAACTGTCCGCCAGCCGAGCACGCGATGTAATGCATTATGTTCTCTGTGAGCGTGCCCGTTTTGTCGCTGAGGACGTGTTCGACCTCGCCGAGCATTTCATTCAGATTGGTCGCTCTTGCCAAGACCTTCTGCCGTCCAGTTCTCATGCGGAAATCAGCAGACATGAATAGTGCTTGGAGAACCTGAATAAATTCTAAGGTCACGAAAAGCGAAACCGGGATAAAGGTAGAAAACAAAATGAGAAACGTGCCCAGGCTTTGGGAAGTGACTTTGCCACCAGATTTCAAAGAATTCTCCCCCATGTACCACTGCCCGGCACCATCCCTGTTTTGTAAGACTCCAGCGACAATTGCGCCTGTGATGACGAGGGTAGCGAGGGCAATAAACAACATAAGGACGACCCAGTTAAGTTTGCGCTCAACCGAACCCATTTTGCTTGGGGGGTTGCGCATGTTTAGTGCAACTTTAGTACCAAATCCAGTATACACAGCAATACCATAAATGCATTCTGAGTTTCTCGAGATGCTTCCTCTGAGCAGCAGCGACGACGGGCCGAGCGGGACGGGGCCCTCGCCGCTGAGTTCAATGGAGGCTTCAAACTCGTGCAGAGCAGTGGAAGGCCTTTGAGCTCTGATCTTGCCCTTGACGGCAGGAAGCTGAGAAGGATGTTCGATTTCAGCGGTAGCTGAGGCGACGATGACGCGCTTTAGATTGGACTCACCATCCAAGTTTGCTGTAGACACATAGGCAATAACGCCTTCTAAAGCGGAATGCAAGAGGACGAGTTCGCACGGAAAAACCTCTCCTTTGCGCACGAGAACGATGTCACCAACGGCAACGTCTCTTGAAGCGACAGTGCGATGCAAGTCAGGCTCCAGATGGGCGGCCTGCAGCGTATGGGCAGTCTTTGATGTGACCAAGGAGAGCTGCTTCTTCGTCTGGATACTTTCCGCGACGCGGGCCATGATAAGCCTTTCCTCGCTGTTTTGGCGACGACCATCGTTTGCGCACTTGATGTCCTCGAAGATGTCTCTCGCAAAACCGAAGCCGACAACGACGAAAAGGGGGAGGACGCTTGCAAATGGGTGCTTGGGGAGATGTTAGGAATGAAGGAGATAACGGCAATGACAAGGAAGTAGAAATTGGAGACGCGTTTGAATTGTTCGTAGAGGGGATGGTGAGGCGCAAAAGGGACGGGAAGGGGTCTTTCGATATCATGGGAGACTCCGAGGCGAGGATGGATGCCATGAAAGAGCGGTGGTAAAGAGAAGGGAAAGCCAATAGCGGGTGGGGATGGAGACAAGGAAACAGGAGGTGATGAAGATGAGGGCAGGATGCTAATTCTATGAATATTTTTCTGATGAGCAGGGAGGTGCGCCTCATGCTCCGTGGCAGGACCCAGTGGAGGCCTCAATTGGACCCCAGCCTATGAGGGCCATTTGCAGGGGTTTCGGGACACCAAGAAGACTATTTAGACAAGTTGTCCCGCTGCCCCGATGCCTTTTTGCCTCCTGGTAGAGATCCTTGTTTGCCATAGCACCAGCGGCGCGGTAATATTTTAACAAATAAAATAACCCATCGCCAAAAGGCAGTAGACCACGGATACTGTCATCAGCATAATTCCGCGGACTATGTCCATGGCGACCCTGCCGCGATCCCCCCTTCCTGCAACATACGACGGACAGCAACTTCGAAAAGTAAAAGACGGCGGGCGGTAGAGGGGGGATAGTGACGCTGAGGAGGAGGGCTCTTCCAGTCTGGAGATAAGTCTTGGGATTCTTCGGGTCCGACCACCGCCCCCGGCGGATGATATCGTCTATAGGCCTCCCATGCAGAGAATCGTGTGTTGCTCCACCATGCCTGAGGCTATGGAGGGTGAAGCCTTGGGCATCCAACCGTAACCACTGCAACGCACGATGAAACGTTTTCTGGAGGGTCTCATACCGTAGAGGGAAAATTTGACCTTCGATACCGACTTCTGAACGGCGAGCGGCGACGTAACTTGGGAGAATTTGGAGCATGTACGGATCGGAAATCCGGACGAACTGATTCGGAACGGTCTTAGTCTCAACGAGTCGTAATCCTGCCAGTGTAGGGAGATCCCAGTGCGTGAGCCGAGCATCGCCAGGAAGCGCAATATCTTGGACGGTGAGATTGAGTAGCTCGTTTGCACGGAAGTAGCAAGTAAATTGTAGACGAAACGCGACATTGTAAACCGAGAGACGACGCTTTTCGCATTCACATGCGATCCCATTAAGGATGTCGTACGAAAGAGGTGGTGGGGACTTCCGGGGGACTACACGATCTCAGCCACGAAGCGCCAAGCGACAGCCGATAAGCTTCTTACGGTGGGCGGGCACAACCAATTCGTAACCGAATACCGCATGGACCATCCGATTCTTGGCACCCCGGGACGGGTCGTCCTGATAAGTCCACACTGAAAAGTGTTGTGCATCATCTACATCGTAAGCCGAGGACGTGCACAACGCCCTCTCGCGGCAGAAGGCGGCGAAGCGAAGCACACCAGCACGATAAACCTGGAACGTTTTAGGAGCGACCGCATAGCTCTGTAGAACAGAGCATGCGTCAAGGGCGATCTCGATTTGCTCGGCGAGAGGCGTTGCGCGGAGCGTAACGACGGGACGCGGCATCGGCGAGTTGGTAGTCAGTGGGGACCCAGTGTAAAAGCAGCTCAACGTCGGCGAGTGAAGAGTAAGCAGCAAGCTTGCGGCACGGGCGGTTAAGGCGGCGGGAGGGGCTTCGCCCTTTGGCGAGAGCACCAAGGACAACGAGACTATCTAAATATACCAGGACGCGCGATCTCCGAGTGACAGATGATATATCCATGTGACCGACAGCAAGTATTAAAGCTTCAATTTCCAGGACATTGATATGATAGGTGTGCGCAGCGGCCCTCCATCGATGGATAATTGCAGTCTTCCACTGTAAAGAGGACCACTTTATCATAACGGGAAGGCCCGCGGCCCAAGCTGCGGAGAGCCGTTCAGAAGCTGTATCATAATCTGTATTATCCTATTCAGCGCGGACGTTTTCGGAGGTGAGGTCGAGTCGTTCGGCGAGTTCGTAATGGTAATATCGATTTCGGCGAGTGCGGAAGCTATGGCGTCTTTGTCGGAGATGTCGGAGGCTCCCAAAGGTAACTGCTCCCTACCTGTAGCTGGGACATTGTAAGTCAACGGCTCACTAACATCCGGCAGCATATCGGGGAACGCGTACCATCCCGTGAGGACGCGGGCGTCTCGGAACAGGGCAACCAAATCTTGACCACATCCACCTTCATCCAGGTACACAACCCCGGCACCCCACGGCGAAGCATCTGTCGCGTAGATTCTAGTAGACCCGGAGCGCGTAAGGTCACGGAACACGACGGGAGCAAGACCGATCAGCGCCTGGAGTTCTGTGAGTTGAGGGACGTTCAGCAGTCGCGGGACGTGCGGGCGTTTAAGGGATGCGAGACAGTACAGTTCTGACAGCACGCTCAGAAAAGGGCGACGGAGTAGCAGCGGCTATACCCAGCGCCCTAGGAAGCGTTGCATTTCCCGAGGGGTGGCATGCCGGCTGCGTATTAAGGCGTCGGTAGACTGTAAAAGAGCGTTCATATGGTCCGACTGCGGTGTGACAAGTCCGGTACGGTGCACAGCAAGCCCAAGGCAGACAGTATGCGAACGCAGAGAGCTGGCGGGCTGGTATTTTCCAGGGTGAACGGGCAGCCCACTTGCAACGAGAAGCTTCTTGATAGACTGATGACGGGTGTTGACAGCGTTCTCGGAGGTGCCAAGGACGGCTAAATCGTCAATGTACGGCAGAAGAGTGGTGACGGAACTTTGTAGCGGTGAGGACAGGTAACTACCTCGGAGAAGCAACTCCTCGTCCTGAACGCCAGCGCGTCGGAGGATTTCCAAGTGTACGGCTTGGGCAAAACGTACGGCAAGGGACCAACCCATAGGAATGACTTTGAGTGCGGGATAGTAAAAGTCGGCTTCCAAAGTAGAGTCATAGGTCGGTCCCCAGATGCGAGGTAAGCCGAAGTAGCGCCATAACCAGCGGGGGGCTCTTAGACAGTTGTACATCTGACTGACATCGGAAGTGGACGTAAAAAGGGACTGAGACGAATCAAGATGAACTTCCCCGAGCATGTCTGGCGACGGGAGAACAACCGACGCCAGCTCTTGATTGAAATACAAATTCGAACGGCGACCGTCCCATATAACCCGTTGAGGTCCATTCGATTCTTGCGTCTTGGCAATCCCAAAGATACCGTTCTCTTGTACCCCAGATCCCGACGCCAACATATGAATCATTCCTGCCGCGTACATACGGCGAAGGAGAGGGACGTAGTCCCCGTCCTTAACGTTGCAGAAAACGGGCAGACCCTTGAGCGCGTCCGATGACGGCGCACACGCAGCAAGACAGTTCCCGTCCAATAGTAAGGACCGTTCATCCATGGGCAGAAGTTGCATGATATCTGCAGTGGCAGCCTCCCCGAGAGCTGGCAGCGCGGCACGCGCTGAAGTAAGCTTCTCGGCACGCGCACCTCTGCGAGCAACGTAATCGGGGAGGTGAGGAGGCTCGTCAGCTGCGGCAAGTGCGTCCCGAAGGCCCACGAAATCAGTAACGGCCTGAGACAGTACTTGCTTCGCAAGAGCGGGGACGGTGAAGTCCTTCGCGGAGCGATGCATAGTGCCGCTCCGTAGCCATTCGACGGAACACAACAGTTGGTCCAACACTTCGGGTGCTTGCGGACGAGTCGATTCCAAGGACATGTCGATGGCACGGTTGTAGTGTGATGGCGTTTTTTTTAAAGTCTTTTTGCCACAATTTGTTGTTCACCTTGACACGATCGATGAAGAGGGAGGCTGAAACCCGAGATTGAAATACCCTGTTGTAATGAAAATTACGCACAAAATGTAGTGACGTAGAGCAGGTAGCTGTTCCCAGGTATAGTATAGTTCAGCGAGCGCCAAGAGACAAACAAGTGAGCTCCAGCTCCGAGGGGAGGCGGGAGAGGGGATATGATAGGATAGATAGAACAAACAAATAGAAAGAAAAATAGAAAAATAAAGCAGAAAAGAAAAGGAGAAAGAAAGGAGCAGGGACACGGAAATGAGCAACAGCACGGGAGCAAGCAAGGAAAGCTCGCTTGCGCTACTTGGTGTCCGACTTTCTCGCGTCGGATTTTGACTTGCAGAGCAACTTGTACGCTGCAGCGCTACTTCCACCAAACGTCCCCAGAAACAACTCCGTCCCTTCCCACGCTTGCGGCCTCTTGTCGCGTTTGTAGTCTTCGGCTACACTGAAGAGGACGGTGAGGCGCCGGACAAGGCTCTCAAGTGCATCACTCCTCATGGCGAGGGCGGGATGAAGTGAGTCTATGGCAATAATAAGATGCTGTCCCATGCTGGTGATCTCGCTCTTGAGAGGACGATCACCAGATTCATCAGACAGCTTAGCCAGGGCCCGATTGACCCGATCCTGTAAGTCCCCACCGTTACGGGTCCAGTGCAATATTTGTGGACCAGTAACTCCCTCGTGAGGCGCGAAGGCGGAAGTGACGAGGCGGTCCTTGTGACTGTAATGCATATCATAAGCCGCCTTACACTCAGCAATGACCTCAGGCGAGTCAGGATCCCTGTGTTTTCCCATGAGGAGCTGGCGAATGACCAGCCGCTCCTGATTAAAAACCTCGAGATAATCAATGAGCTCCTCTTTGGTCTTAATTTTCAGGCGGTATTGGGATACAGTGCGTGTAAATTCAAGCCCTGTGCTGAGGTGTGTCTGCCACGTACGAGAGAGGCGCGCAACAAGCGTGTCATATTCCTTGGTCTCATCTGCCGACAGGCCAGATGGGCGAATGAGAGGCTGTGCCAGGGTGTCACCCACAATCCCACCCCCATCTTCACCGCACTCGGGATCTACTTCCACCTCGGAATCAATACCAGCCGCATGTTCTGCCAGGCGCAATCGGGAGGCCCGTGAGTCATCTCGAGCAGCCCCGGGAGGACCACGCACTCCGTGCTGCGACAAGTGACCTGCCTCGCGCTCGAGACGCTCCCCGCCGCCAGTGTCCGTCCGTCTCTCTGTACGTCCCACAACCACATTGCCAACGTTTTGAACGGCAGATTGCGATGGAACGTCAAACGTAGGCCCTCGTTCGGCAGTGGGAATGGTCGAGTGTAGCTCCGATAGTAATTGCCGTACCACACCCAGGGGAGCACCAGCAAACCGGGCCTCGGGAACACCCAAAATACGGCACATACCCAGACATTCCTCCATGCTTAGACGACGACATGCTGACGCAACAAACTCCTTCTTGAAAGCAATGAGCCTTTCTGGAAGAGAGAAAAGAGCATAAAGTTCCCTGA